TCCTCCTCTTCCTCCGATCGCTGCACGTCCCCCTCTTCCGTTTCTTCTTCTTTCGCGCGCCGCTATATCGCTTATGGATTAGCGTGCGGACTGGTTAGTCGCTGCACTCCTGCCGAGAGTGGACTTTCAGGCGCCTCACGCTATGCCAGTGCCGTAGACTCAGCGACGCCCCTTTTTCCAGCTCGCCCTCCCACGTGTCTCACCCCGCTCGTCTGCGCTGTTTTCTGTCTTTTTTCCCTTAACTTCCCTCTTCTTTTTGCATACAAGTGAGACAACACGGACACACATGCACACGCGTGCGCGCACAATCGATCGCCGTGCTCTATCATTTCGTCATTTGATTTCTTTTCCGACCACACGACGAAGCCGCCCTCCTCCCCCCTTCGCCTTTGGGGGTGGGTGGCGAGGAGACTTTTTCGGCCCACGTCACGAGAAGTGCGGTCACGCACCTATCGTGGATCGATGGCCGCACCGTAGACGAAGTAAAAAATGTAATTCCGCGAATGACGCTTGGCGAGAGGCATTTTTATTAAATATTTTCTCAAACGAACGATAACGTGTTTTTTTAAATTCACTTTTACACATTTATGTTGAGTGCCGCATCACGTTTTGTAAATCTGTTATTCGCTGAGGATGGCAGGTACGAAACGTACATTGTGAATAAAATTTCATTCACACTTACAATTAGGCACGAACATCCAGCTTTGGCCCTTAGCTCTTTCATACTTTTAATTTTTTTTAGAAATCCCGAAGAGTGACGCGAGCGATGTGGGAAATTAGGGTGAGATACTTTGCATGTCGCAAAAAGATTTCACATCGCACGTGATGGCCAAGCAATTCCGCGACAATTTCCAATCAATGTCGCTCACGTCGGAGATATTTTTGTGCGTTCCGTTCGAGCTATTCCGGGCGCGTCGTAGCGAGGAAAGGAGGATAAGGGATAAAGTCGGCCGCGAGTCGGACGGGGGCGCCCTTTCGTCGCGGAATAGTTGCGGTAAATTATTAACGTTGCGTGCCGGTATCTACTGGGTGGCGGTATCGATTCCGCCGTCCCGCTTTTTCATCGCGTGCGTATGCACACACACACACACACACACACACACACACACACACACACACACACACACACACACACACACACACACACACACACATACACATACACACACGACATCTAGATACCGCGCCGCGTCGCTTTAATTTCCATTTGCATCTCGACATTGTTATTAACCCCGCGGACTGTACCCTCAATCTCCCCGCGCGGTGCATTACGATTCTCCCGCGGCAAGAAAATAATAATTGCCGCGCGTTTGTCGCTTGTTTCCCGCGAATTGCGACCGATGTTCGCTTTTACGCGATCGTAAATACGCGCATTCTCCGTAAACAAGGGCAATCGAGCTGCAGGAAAATTTCCATGATATCTGCCGATGAGAGCGTCCCGACGTTCTCCCGTTCTCAGCGCGATCGGTGTTTGAATTATTAAAGAAAATAAAAAATTATTGCTTACTCGAATCTCTCGTAACGATTATTTCCACGCGGGACGGTATTATCCGCGGAATCTGTTCGATCTGTGCGCACTTTAACGCGATTGTCCAATATGAGCGCGATTAAAACCAATTGAGCTTAGCTCCTTTGTCATACGGTCGCGTGCTTTATAATCGGCTTCGGTCTCGAGTGCGACGTGTACGACCCAGTTCAGTCCGTACGTTTCGTTTGCATATTTGGTTTGCATACTTCACCGAGTACAAAGAGTGCGCTTTACTGCCACGTCACGGCTTTAAAACTGTGGTTAACGTTACGCCACGATCCGCGAGAGCGTGTAGAGCTGTAAAAAAAAAAACAAAAAAAACAGCTAATTCGAGAATTTTCAGGAAACTGTTGAATACAATTGTTCTGTATGCAGCGGAGGGGATCTGCATATTTGTAGACAAGCTTACATACAAAATCAAATAATTTTACAAAGCGTTGTGTGTGAAATTAGTTTTGCAGAATTTCGATGCGAATAAAAAGAAATAAAAGATGCGTATAAAAAATAGATGTTTATTGAAAAACAAAGTGAATATTTTTTTTTTTAACCAACACACAGAGCCGGCGAGATGAGAACAAATTAAACGGTCGCGCTAATATTTTACGTAATATTTTAAATTCTATTATTACAATATAATGAAATCGATATTCACGCGCATCCGTACACGCGCGACACGCTACCTGAAGAAAATATGCCGCGCGAGTTTTTGCATTCTTTCTGTAACTGCCTGTAACCTTATATTACGATGTTCCCATTGTCGAGCCGTGCTTTCGTATGCCGCGCATGTTGCTGCGATTTCTATGCTAAACGTGCGCTATCGCGATATAGCCGACAAATGGTCGTCGGTAGCCAGCGTCGGTGTTACGTTTTCGTTTCGTTTTCTTTTCGGGATGATGGCCTCGCAATCTCATACGGCGAAGTTTTGAAACAACTGGTTCATCTATTCGAACATTTCAGGGACACGAGCCGCGTACGTGAGTTTGGTTAACGAAGCTTATGGTTGCGGCATTACGAGCGAGAGAGGGGGGGGGGGATATTTCTAGTCGTGTGCGATTACCGGAGAACTGTACGCCATTGTGTGCGGTTAGCTTCGCTGTTCTTTGATCAAACAGACTGATTATGTAATTAATTATTCGCGATTCAATCGTATTACGTTAAATATTCTGGACTGGTGAGCAGATAAACAGCGATTATTGTGTCAATTTAAATACATAGTCTCTATTGATTTCGGCAAAATTTGATTTTATCATTTGCTAAATGCATAAACGTATCAATAACATGTAATTGCAATTTCAACGGAGTGGATCGGAGAGTATTAACGTTTGTTCGGTTATATTTTAATTCCCAATAGCAAAGAATAAACTTTATCGGCTTTTATATTCAGTGAATTTATTTTTATATAAAGCACAAAGTAGGTTTATTTTTAAAGCGTGGAAGTGGCTGTGCGAAATTTTCGCGCTACAAAAATTTGTTATTTTATTAATTTATCCCTGAATGCGCCATGTTTCGGGGAAGTTTGCTCGCGTTAACGAACGCGGGAATCTCGATGTATTAACAATTTAACCTTCTATGTCACGGCGAAGAAATTAAGGGGTTACGGCAGACCCCGCGTTTACGCCTGCGGCGACTCGGAGGAGCTGCGCTAAATCTCTAATTGAGCAATGAATCTTCGGCGGTGCGCAACCCTGTGTGAGGGGCACCCGACGCACGTAGGAAAGAATTATCGCGGTCGGCGGAGAATTAATCGTCGCTTCTATTTTAAAGCGTCCCGCGGCAATGGCGGCGCGAAGGTGGAAATAATTAAATTCTAATCCCGTCGGGGTTTATCATTCCGCAGATATTTCCAACATGGTTTATCGCCAATTAACCGTGGCACCGGCTTATCAGCTTCATTAAAACATCTGCCTATTTTCCTTCCACTTGCGCCCGGACATATATTTTGTTACGCAATTTGTTACTAAAATTTGAAAATATTCAATATATTATAAAACGACGACCACTTCTCGAAGCATCGATCTGTTTTGACGAGATATCCTGCCGCATAAATTCATATACATTAGCACGCGTTATAGAACTGAATAGACCCTGTGTGCGCGCGCAGCATGATAATTCATTGTCCGTTAAATCGCCTCATTTACCTTAATTACGTCGCCGGAATGGGAAAACCATTTTAGTGCGTGTATTCTGCTTTTTATTGCACCCGCCCGCGCGGGTTTCTTTTTTGTGAAGGAAGCCCCGCGACTGTGGCCACGCGACTGTCAACGAAATCGGGAGCATATGTTAATTTATCGCAGCTTTACGATCCATAATCTCGACGGGGCACGCCGTGCTTTGTGCGTCGCAGACGATATTCTGAATTATGATAAAAGCCATGGTAGCTTGATTACGACCGCATAAACCGCGCTTCATTGTTCGCGTTTGCGAAACGAGATTCGCGATACGGTAGAAGAGACGCATTTTCTGACGAGAGACTCCTATCTGTCTGTTTCAGATATAATGAAGAGAGAAGCCGAGGCCGGCGCCATGACAGCTTCCGGGGGTCCAACGAGCCCCCACAAACGCTACCGACAGGCATTTGACGATGAACTCCGTCTTCTCATCCCGAGCAAGGTAAGTGTTGCCGATCGATACGCCATAAAATTATCATCCCAAGCTTAACCCCTAACTAGTGACGTGGAAAAGATCGATACACCGGTGTCGAGAGATTTCAAGTTTCTTATCTTTCACGTCATAAATAATTGCTTTTGTCTTAATTATTCGAGATAGAAACGATAGAAATATTGAAATTAATAGTTTTAATTATTCAACAAATAAGAGCTGGATGTGGGTGGACAAAATTCAAGTTTTTGGATTTAGGAAACCCTATGAATCTTGTTAATTACAATTGTTTCGAGATAAATTTTCTTCTGTTTTTGAAATGATAACCATTTTGTCGGGTTAACACTTGCATCCTTTGAATAACGCGAAAACAGTGTCGTTCATATTTTTTTTCTTGTGTCGAAAACATCGACGGAACCGGCAAAACGTCTCTTTCGGCCGAGTGTACAATGTGCGTTCTGCCGCACAATGTGGACAAACACGTCGATCATGCTTCCCACGTGCTCGCCACTGGGTCACTGTATTTTCTAGTCACGCGTGTTCTTCAACCCGACTCTTTTCGCCGAGCATTGTGTCGCGAATGGTGGCGAGTGAGAGACGATAACGGCTCTCATATGCGCAACACGGGACCGCACGTCCGCTTCATCGTGGAACAAACCGGAGCGCTTCCGGTCATTGTCGCCACGCTCGACGGACCGTTATCGGTTTCTCCTGGCCGCTTTCTTTCACCTCGCGGGAAATCTCATCGAATTCGCGAAACGTATCGATACGATAAGTTTCGGTGAACTGACGAGAATTCCATTTTTATTCGTGCAATCTTCTGTAAGACAAAGACTGTGAATCTTTTAGCGCCGAGGCTGCGGCGTCGGCGTGCTGTAGGTTTTCATCTTCACCGCCAATACGCCTCGTTCGGCCGGATGTTTCTCGGCTGGGCGGATATTTTCTTGCGCCACCGCTTCCTGCGCGGTACAATAAGATGTAAGCGGCGAATATCGCGATTGCAACGGCCGTCTGCAATTCGAGGGCATCGAGAGAGAAGTAATATCGTGAATCGAAGGTCTATCTGTGCCTCCTTTCGCTCGGTAGTGATTGATTGTAGCATTGAGAATATTGAAGGGAGCAGTAAAGCACTCTCGTTTCTTGCGCTCCCTTTTGTTCGATGTATTTTCGGCGGGAATCGCCGACGAAGATTTTATCACGAAACACGTTTCGAACTAAACGTCGAGCGACGGTTTTTTTTCCTCATATTTCTCCGGCGTATTATTGCTTTTTTTTCAAATTGACTCGCTCGCGGCTGATAAAACGCGCAGTTTTGCAAAACGAGCTTATAATTCGCGACATAGGTTATTCAATTATTCAAAATAATTACGGTTTGCTGTATACTTAGCATAATCCTATAAATCTTTTGCGCCTCACGCGCTTTAATAAGCTTAATTGAATTGAATAACCGATCGTCACGTGGCAGCGCAGATTAGCGTGCGCCGTCATCACGCGCCGCCGACACGCGAGCGTCCGAAAAAAGCCAGCGCCGCGTGAAATGATATCCGGCGCGCGAGTTATCTGTGAGTTATAGTACGCGGCTGTTTTTTACTTGGCTTAATTATCGGCGAGTTATCTGTGACAAATGGAGGAGGGGGTGGGCAGGGTTTTGCGGATTTGACGCTCGCGTCAGGGTTGCTGCGCGAAGCCGTCGGCGTACGTGACATCATTACAGACGGCCCTGGTACGATCGCGCCTGTTAATTTCGTAATGGACAACAACAACGTGTGCACCACCGTCGAGGTGGTGGTGCGCGCCGGTGTGCGATTTAATCGGCGCCGCGAGGGCGCCTTATTGCGATCCAGGCGGTCGAGCACGAACATGCGTCCGTCGCGCTCGATCGCGGTCGAACCATCCGCTACGTAATCGACGATATCATCGCGTGCCGTCATTGGTGCATGGTATGTCAGGGACAATCGCGCGGAGTATGGCGTTACTAATACTGCAGTCTTCAAGAGAAGACGCTAAACTTGCGCAGCTTTTGGGGAAAATAGTTTTCTTCGCCAGTTGTAGCGATAGGTTTGCTCACTGCATGGTGCTATTGCTTTTGAAATAGCTTTGTTATAGTCGCACATTATTCGGAATTGTTTGAAAAATTCATATTTTTGTACATTTATTTTTATACATTTATTATATTAATAATTTTTATATTTTTCAATTTCTCTCTGTAATTCGTATTCTCTTTATATTTGGCTAGATATTTTTAATTCTTTTCCCCTTGAAATATTTAATTAACGTGATGAATTTAATTGTACAGATTTGTGCTCGATAATAATGCACTGATCTGGAAAACTCGAATTATGTAAAGAATTAAATTTTCAATTCTGCGCAAGCTCGTTGTTTCTTTCATATTTGAACGATATTTTATAATGTACGAGCGTTTTCACGCTCTGCTGTGTTTAGGAAAACTTTCCAGAAATGTTTATATGTACATACATTATAGAGTATCTCGGAGATTCCTCGCGTCATTCCTTCCGTCTGCGAATTTCTATTTTCCCGAGCGAAAGATGGATGCGTCGCATCGTCACGATGAAAATGACTGCATAGCCGCATTCCCGCGTCATAACACGCGCACCGTTGTTTGTGTGCATCGAAGCGCGTCCTTGGCGCACCTTCTCGCGTAAGAGAAAGTGTTAATTGCTGGACAATACTGGAGCTCATTTAATTAGCTGTCGGAACACGGTGAATCTGCCATTAAAAGTGACTCTCCACATGAAATACGCGCAGCATTACGAAACTTAACATTGCGTTCGCGTTACAAAATTTAATAAGATCACATCTCTTCGCCGCAGCAAACTGTAAATTACTTTGCGATTCAACGAGAAACAGATGAGGTCGCGCATCGGACGTACGTCGGAAGTCCGCTGCGGTAAAATTAAATGCCCAATTAGGAGTGGACGTAAAATTTTTATCGCGAGCATCGGATCGGGTTTAGAGAAAGCGAAATGTTGGTGTAATCAGGGTGCGTGACAGGAGAAGGGAATTTCCGTATTTCATCCTCGTTATATCCCGAAGCGGATTATTTCACCTCCAGATTTTCCGCTTATTAAATATTTGCTGTTGCCGGTTGCGCCCTCGGCGAAATATCTGCTTAGTTGAAATGTTACAAAGAGTAAAGAGATATATTGTGTGTGAAAGATTAAATGTGCCTGGTCCTGACGTACCGTAATTTCAATGGAAATACTTAGATATTAAATTTTTGATATTAAATATTTGCATTACTCTCACGATTCGGCACTTTCGCCGCCGAAAGTATCTTTAAAGGATTGAAAATATTCATTTCGGTCGAGTAGCCTATCGTCACCTATTAAATTCGGTTATCTTTTGTTACAGGTTGCCGGTTCGATAATTGGCAAGGGCGGCCAGAACATCACCAAACTCAGAAGTCAGGTAAGCTTTTGAGCCTGGACTCGAATAGTTACGCCGAATAGTTTCGTTCCTGTCTTCGTCTGTCTTCTCGCGAAAGCTTCTCGCTGGAAGCAAGCGCGAGCGAGACGATAGAAGACGAGGATCGTACGAATAATTGAGCAGAAGATCGTAAAAACAATCTCAGAATCGTGTACATATCTCTTTGTTTATGAAGTGTTTTTCCGATCTTTCGATTGCGCGCGTATTTACGTCTAATTACATGTCGGATTTTCAGTTGATTGAGAGTCATTTTTGTTCCGTTCACCTATTTTCCGGCGACTTTTGTCGGGTTGCTTATCGATGAAGGAAGCGCGGCTTGCATTTGTTTCCTTTTCTTTATGCATTTCTGTCTGCGGATCGATGACACGAGTGCCTGTAACGTAATGAACTCTTCAGCCCCTCGAGGCCTTTAAATTCGTTTGAGCCTAAGATGATTACGGTTTATATCATTACGGCGCGCGGTAAAGGTTTAATATGAAAATTTATGTAATTTTCCTAAAGAGCAAAGTACAGCGGGAGCGGCGCGTATAAAAGGCTTTGTCGCGGGAATTTGTTTCGCCAGGCACTCGTCCCGTTCTCCAAAGGCATCCCGCGCGTTATCCGTACGTAGCTTCATTATGCATTTGGTTCCTGAAGCGCAGGGAAGCTCTGGCGCTTCCCACGTCTTCTCGCATATCTCGCGTTCATACACTTATATCAATATTTCATGAGACATTCGTTATTTCTTGGTTACACGAGAGCTTCGGCTTCGATCCTCCGCTCTCGCGCTTCGATTTTATTTCACGCGCCGTATTTTAAAAGCGACACGCGAAAGTTACACCTTCCGCAATGATCGATGGCGAGCGAACTCGTTCCACTACGAAACGCCGATGACACGGTGAGGTGAGCGCGGACGAATTCTCTCGTCTTCGTGTGCGTGATCGATACATCATGCTATTTTTATGCAACGTTAACGTCGCATTAGACTCACGTTCGAGTCTCTTCTTTCTCTCTTTCTCTCTCTCTCTCTTTCTCTCTCTCTCTCTCTCTCTCTCTCTCTCTCTCTCTCTCTCTCTCTCTCTTTCTCTCTCGATCGTGCTTCAACAAGCGACCAGAATTTGTCTCCCTGCTTGAACCAAATGACGTACATGAATGTGCGGTAGAAATATTTAACGTACGCGAGTTAGAATCATCTTGTCTCCAGCGTTGTGACTCACAATCAATTCAGCCGATTAGTCAGTCGAAGTCTTCGATATTAAATAATGCAACGGCGAATTATCGCAACTCTATTAATCGCTGCGAAATCGGCAGATATCGATTATTTAACACGCGAAGTTGTTAAATTTTCTTAGAATAACGAACAAGACTTTCCTTCCAAAAAAGTAATTATTCCCCGCGAAGATATCTGCCGGTTTCGCTGTTACTTAAATTTCACCATAAATGTAATTCGATGTTTTGCGATAACGTATCGATAATATACACCTCCGCTCGTGAAATAGCTGAAGGGGGTACACCATAACCGTGTCCTTCGTATCGCACGCTCGTAATTGCCAATAAATTCCGCGATACGATTACACTATTATATTACTTACATTATCATCTCCAAGTCACGGTGGGGGCCTTCAACGGGGGTTTTCGAGTGCGCAACTTCAGCCATCGTATCGAGCTGCGATGTTAAAGTGCACTCGGAGGTGAGGGGGAAGGGGGGACAGAGAGGGTGTCGCGTTAATCGCGTAAATGTCGCTCTTTAGTCGTGCGGTTGTGACGTCGTCGCAAATCACCTCCGGCACGGTTTGACACGCCGGCGGGCAAAGCACGATCTCCAATCCGTCGTTGCACGCACGTTCTTCGCTCGGATGTGTACTGGCTTTTCGCGATGGACCTGTCGACACGTACGCGTCCTTCTATCGATAGGTCACGCCACGGTCCGCGTCTTCCAGCGAATAAACGGAAAAGAGCGCGAGAGTGATTCACGGTGCCGCTGGAGCAGCGTTCAAACATCTCCGAGATTCCACGCGGCTGCGTGCTGCAAGACGGAAAATTGGATACACAGCACTTTGGGAGTGGTCATTGATGAATTTTAGTTGAAATGATTATGAAACATGGATCCCGGAAGCGCTCCCGTGGAGCGTATAAAATGCTCTGGAATTTGCAGACGCGGAATATTATCAGATTTATTAGCCGTATTAGAGTCTATCGATTTTCGCTCTTAATCAGTGGAAATTGATACGATATTTTATACGCCAAACGCGCGCGCGTGGAGGGAGTGCTGTAATTATCAGTACGATGGTTATTTGGCATTTAATTAATTTTGTACCTTGAAAAGTTTGTTCAATGCTGTAAAATAATATTGAAATTCTGATTTAAAATTTAACTTCTTTGATAAGTGGCGCAATCCACGCGCTTGACCGTTATTCCCAAAGTGTGCTGTAACCGAGAGAATTGCCGAAGAGAACTTCTCTCAGCGATTCATTTCCAGTTTGCGCTGCCTTCCTGGCGGCTTTCTACGGGACACTCTCTACGCGAAATCCCCCGCCGCTTTGTGGAGTTTCATGGCTCGAGCGCGCGGACGCTTCGCAAACTTCTACAGGCGACAGAGCGCTTGATGTTACGAGGGCTGCTTTGATTGTGTGTAGGAAAATATTGGGGAATCGTGTCGAGAAACGAGAAACTCGCGCGCAATTGACAAATTCGGGACAAAGATAGAGCTTCACGTCGCACACGATTGTTGCGGCACGCGAATACAGATGATTGCTATTTTTCTCGGAAAGAATGATCGAGGAAACACGGAACGTTGTTACGTTACGGCGATTTTTCGTCTGCCCATCGGACGAACGAACGGCGAAGTTATTTCCATTCACGACGAAACTCGCGGCAAACTATCGCAGAGCGTTCTCGCTTCTTCGCGAAACTTTCGGACTTACGTCGATAAAACTTTCTGAACGGTTATCAGTTACGAGCCGGGGCTCTCACCCGCAAGTTATACAGGACGTTTAATAGACCTCTTCGTTTAAATATTAAAAACTTGCTTGATTAACGGCGTTTAGCGCACTTCGTTAGCAATTGAAATATTCTCAGGGCCCGCTATGGAGCAGACAGAGTGACGTCAATTAACTGCCGCGCCGGGAGAGGAAAATTATTCGAGTGCGTCTTCAGAATTCTTAATGGCTACAGGGGGAGGGGGGGTAAGATGGGGGGGAATACTACTGGTTCGCGGTCTTCGCCGAGATGATACAAGTACCTCTGTCGACCAAACATTTCCTTGAAGAAAGAAACCACAATGTCGTGCCGTACCTTCGCAAGTTCTTGCCAATCGTATTACGATCGTGAAAGAATCAGCAATTCTTTAAGATTTAAAACTCAAATCGAATAATCGTGGACTTGTGTGCGCTGGACACGAAAAATGCCAATTTCAAAGTTGATCCTCAGATCCTTTCTTTTCAGTTGAAATCAAATTGAAATAAATAGAGGAAAAGATTGCATTGAAATCAACATTTCTAATTATTTATTATAACTTTATCTTTTTTATAACTATTTTTTATTATAACTTTTTTATAACTATACCGCAACGCTGCAAGATAAAACGAGCTATCAATTCTTCACACGATTTTCGTTACTCGACTCGCCAATATTTTTCTCGCCCATTCGCAGCCCGATCCGGCGACGAAAGGAGGTCGGTGGGAGCGACGCGTGGGACGGTGTGGGGGGAGGAAGGGGGGGGGAGGGGGGAAAAAGCACGGGTGGGTTTACAGTGTTAGCGCGTAGAGCGGAGCGTGGGTGGAAGGAAAAGGGGGTTAGGAGATTAAGCCGCGAATTAATCCAGCCGTTCAGACGTGATTGTCTAACTTGGTTGATGGTTTGTGCCCTGGCCCCGCCCCAACCCCGGCGTTGCCCCCTTGGCGTTGCCCTGCCGTTGCCCTGCCGTTGCCCTGCCCGGAACGACGGACCCCGACTCGATCGGCAAATGGACCACCACGACCCTACCAACAATCGACAACAACCACCAACCAACCACCAATGAACCAACCACCAACCACCACGGCCCAATCGACAGTACAAAGCCTCAATCATTGTACCCGATTGCCCCGGACCCGAACGGTAATGACCAACACCAACTACTTAATGTTCTTATTTTTCTTTGTCTCTAATTACGAGGTACCTTATTAAAGCGCCTGCGGAAACCTGGCGAGCAACGAATCTCTTTCTGTATACTCTATATACACCGCTACTTTCCACCTTTCGTAATCTATTGTACTACTATTTCTCTCTCTCTCTCTCTCTCTCTCTGTTTCTCTTCCTCTGTCTGTCTAACTATCTAATTATCTATTTATCTGTCTAGAAAATCTGTCTGTCCGTCTATCTGTCTATTTCTGTTAATCAATCTTTTTGTGAGATCGTCTTTTCCTTCTATCGGTATATTACGTATTGCAGGACCGTCCGTCCGGTACGTAGTCTACTTCCGCGTTTTTTACTTTCTTCTCACTTATTAACATTTCATTTTTTTTACGCGCGTTCTTTCGTCGCACAGAAAGGAGCGAGGGATTCCGACAGTATATTTTTACACATTTTTACAATGTACTATGAAATTTCAAGTAATTTTTAAGTTGCTTGCGAGAAAAAGTTGTTTCTCCTTGATTTGCCGACGTCGCGAGGAGACCGATAGATTTTAAGCACTCTCTTAAAGAGCGACGCGTTTCTCCTTGCATGGCTTCGGCTAAGAAACCGTGGCCGCGCGAGTGAAAGCCGCCGGCGGTGGATGCGGCCCGTGACTGCACCTGCCGGTTGGCACGCGGTCTGCATGAATCGCTTGTGCATTGCCGCCGCGCTGGAACGCAGCGTCCTCTCCCACCCTGCCACTTCGCGCGAGGCTGACTCGATTTAATTCATTCCTGCTGAACTAATCGCAGTGGGAAAAAACCAATTAAAAGCCATTTCAGAGAAACAAGCCAATGTGTCATCGGCGATTGCAGTATTAAATTGTTCGTGAAATTTGCAATCCGCCGGATGCGCGTTTCTCCGCACCCGGTAAACTGTGCGACGCAAGGACACGTGAATTTTTTGCAAATTTTTTATAAGTTCTTTTATTTTTGCAGTTTTCAATTTACGCACGCACCCGATGCGCGCGGGCGATTGTACGGAAACGGATCGGATGCACTTTAATTAGCGTACGAAGATTTCGCTGATTTCGCTGATTTTCTAAGCTGCAAAGTCGACATTCACTTCTCTCTCTCTCTCTCTCTCTCTCTCTCTCTCTCTCTCTCTTCCTTTCTCCCCCTTTCTTTCTCACGTGCTATCCTTCTCGTCTTTTATTTTTTTCGTTTTTCCTGCGTAAGCGCCACGTAATAAGACGTGTGCGATATCACTCGACACCCATACACGTTATATACACACACGTACGATGTCGGGGATATGTTCTAAACGGTGTCTGTAATATGTGGCTAACACGGAAGCTAATATGTGGTATGTGACGCACACGGCCGTACGGCCGGATCAGTGTTAAAGGGTTGTAACTCGAGGTGTTGTTATCGCGTTGAAACACTAGACATTATAATATCAAGTTTTATATACGTAAAGTGAACCGTAGAGAAGTGTCTCGTTTGTTTTTGCTAGAATTAAAAATAAAGCGTGAACTAGATTTCAGATCGTCAGAATGACAAGTCTTACGTCATTCTGTCACGCTCCGAGTTTGGAGAGCAGCACTTTCAACGCGACAAAACGCCTTCACTCTTTAGATATTTCGTCCCCGACAAGTGGTTGTCCCATTAGAAAATATTCCGACGTGGATTAATTAACTCGCCAAGTCGAAAGTCATTACCAACACTTCGCTGTGGATTAAACGCCGCGCGCCTATGCGAATCCGCGCCGGAGAAAAGGAAAAGGGAACACTTCGACTTGCTGACCTAAATTTACGCAATAAAGTCACGGTTATTGCACTCGATTTTTTTACTTCTCGAGATTATCGACGATTACATTAGATGCGTCACACTTCGATACACATCCGTCGTTCGTTCTCTCTTCTCCTGAGAAATTATACCGTGCGGCGCGCACACGCGGGTATTATTCGGCAAATATATATCTTCGTCCTGGGACGGCCATAAATTTTTTTATCACCAGCGATAAAGCTCCTCGAAGCGATGCTCTTAATGCGATCTCCATTCATGGAACGTACGTTTCGGCCCGAGTATTTCGCCGGTGCGCTGTGATCAAGGATTTTGAAGTCGAGAAAGAGCTCGAGTGACCCGCGCGACAATTGATGATGATCGCCATTGACGCCATTTGTGCTCGGTGCAAGTTGATGCCGGTCGATTAATCGAAAGCGAAAGGTTTTGCGTAAATAGAATTTGGAGTATCAAAGACTTGTTCATCATCTGATTAACTGTTTAAGAAAACTTTATTAGCTTTTTTTCACACTCGATATTTTCCTTGCGCAATAATAGTACTTGATCGTCGTCGATGTATCGTGACGCGCGTAAAATCGAATCGAATTCCTTGCAAATATCGCAGGGATCGCTCTACGCTTCCCACGAAGCCGTAACTCCCGATAAAACATTCAACCATCAGACCTAGAATTGTTCGACCGCTCCCTAACGCTTTTCATGCGCTATGAAGTCCAGTAGCTCGTGCAGATCTCCGACTGCCGATAGTTTTCTCTTTCTTTTCTTCCGCTGCAACGTCATAATCTGAAGCCTCTCGCGAGTTTACGTGCGTCCCCAACAGTTCTCTCGAAGGGGTGACTTTCGACCAGCCAACCCAGTAACCATCATAACGCCGTGACCTCTCGTTTTAGATTCTTTAGAGAAGACGTTGCACCGATTAACTTGCAACTCTAAATTACGTATTTCAATTTCTCTCTTTCTCTTTCTCTCTTTCTCTCTCTTTCTCTCGGCTTCTTTAACGGACGTTGCCGTTTCCGGCTAATTGAAGCTGATCGGTGCAACCATCTCGTTTTGTCCTCGAACTAGGTTAAGTAGGAAAATTTGTATGTAGCTGGTGATGGCAGCTTTCACGATCGAGAATGTCGCTGACTGGGAACTTCCTAGGCAGTAGCGCCTCGTGTATGCACGTGTGCAAATAAATGTAATTAACACGTAATGAACACATTTGCGTTTTCAAATACATAGGATTGCAAATGAGATTTGCCGGAGTTGCAAGGCGATATTTCTGCAATCGTGCAACGTAGAGAGGAAATTATTTTCAACAAAATCGGATTAAATTTCGAACACTCGCGGAGTTAAATTGCCAACCGGATGCTTCTCCCGCGGAACCGGTAGAACGCTGAAAAGAGGACAGTATGTGCACAATTTCCGCGATATATCCAGTCGAATGGAAGATACGCGGCTTTGGCTCGTTATAGCGAGGAAGGAAAATGGGAGTGGACGGCGTGGGACGGGAGGGAAGGAAGAAGGACGAAACGGAGAGAAAGAGGGACCGCCGTGTCCATCCCCTCGTATTAGCTGTGTGGGGTGGATTTGTGCCGGTCGTCGTCCCGAAAAGTTCCGTGTTTGCTTTCGATCGCGAGAGATGATAGCGGGGACTCTCGGCGTGCTCCATAGAGAGCTGGTGAGGGAAAGAAGTACATTCGAATACCATTTCCTTCTCAAAAGCTGAATATACTTATAGAGAGAGAGAGAAAAAAAAATGAAGTAAAATCAATTTCGTTATCTTTTAATTACTGCAATTTCGAAGAAGCAAATTATCTCGCGAAACGCGCGCGTCGAAAGTCTCAAATCTCGGAAGAAAAATAAATGTTTTGCGCTTCACGATGTTACGAGAGGAAAGCGATATTCGGATAATTCTTTATCTCTCTCTCTCTTTCTCTCTCTTTCTCTCTCTCTCTCCCCTCTCTATCTCTCTCTCTCACTATTCATCGCCCTTTCCAACGGCGATTCGGCCGGAAGAAAAACGGATCGGCGGCGAATTGGAGCCACCGCGCCACGTATCACCGACGGTGTTTTTCGCGACGCGTACGGTAACTCGCTCCGGTGGACGGCCGTAAATACGATCATTCCGATCGCGCGCTGCGATTGAAACTGGATGGATGTAGGTCGGGAAAATACCGCGGCCCCAGCGAGGATGAATCTAGTTCGTGCTCACGGTCGATCGCTGGTCGCGATTGCACGCGAATTGGCGATTCGCAAAAACCGCGACGTTGCTCGCGCAGAATCGTGTCTCGTAGGGAAAAAAAAGAAAAAAAAAAAAAAAA